GCTTTACAGTGACGAAAACACGTCCTCTTCACCTGGACAGGTGGGCCTCAGGTGTTCATCACTAAAGTCAACACAACGCCAGTAAATCCAAGATGGCGCGTAGTTTCTTCTTCTTTCACTGACCGGAGCAGCTGCTGCCGTCACTGCTGCCTCTAGCGGCGGGAAATCACACTGCAACAACTGAGTGGATCCAAATGTCCCTCTGAGGACCCGTAGACCTCAGCTGTGCGCGGTGGGACCTGAACTCCACATCTTAGAGGAGACTATGGTCGTTTTTACAGCGCTCATTTATCTGATACTTACTGTGCAGATTCACATCAGTAAAACAAAATATAATCAACGAACAAATTATGATGCATCGTAAGAAAATAAACTCATCAATATATTAAATCATCACATTTAAACTTTAGCAGCTGCAACATGACGTGATGAAGAGATAAACTCCGACTGATGGACGTCTCTGATGACAAACATTTGGGTTTGAAAAGTGGACGAGTTCAGTTCAGAGTAAAAAAGTGTTTATTAACGACATGGAAGGATTCAGTGTTTATAATTCATATTATACAATTTTCTAAAATAAAAATCTTAAAAAAATAAATGACTCAAAAAACATTTTCATTATGTGGATATTATGTTTTACAGCTGCCATCTGATTGGCTAAAAATTAATCTCCTGGGGTCGTATTCACAAACGTCCTGAGAACTCTCTCACAGAGCTCCTGACTGTCAGTAAGGAGTCTGAGCTCAGGAGGGATTTAGGAAAGTTCTCAGAGCGACTCTGAGCGAGGAAGAGACAGAAACTGTGACCTCACTGAGGAGACAAAAGTCATCACTGCTGCTCTTGTAGAGTTTTTCAAATATCTTAATATTGTGATCATTTTATTTCTGGTGTTATAGCGTTATTTTGTCAGGTGTGAAATGAGTGTGTATCTCAAATGAGATGGACCACAAACATTCTCCCTGCACGATCTCATCTGTAGTGTTTCATTGACTCACTGTCATTTTGTGATTAGAGACTGTTTCTCTGACCTCTTTGTGTTTCCACCATTTTCTCCTCTGATTCAGAAACTCTTAAACTCCTCCTCCTGCTCCCAACAGTTTCTCACCTTAGGAGCTCTCTTAAGGTTAAGATGCTCTGTGAAAAACGTTCATCTTTACAAAGACCTCGTCTTAACTTTAAGTGGAATTTCTAAGAAAACGTCACAATTCTAAGAATTTTCTTAGAATTTCGTCACTAGGAGCAACTCTTAGCACGAGGAAGCTTTGTGAATACGACCCCTGGAGTTTTTCAGTCACGCTGCTCATGGAGATCTGAAATGTTTGGAGGGAGCCAGGCTAACCGTTTCCCCCGCTTTCAGTCTCTGTGCTAACCTAGGCTAACAGTTTCCTCTGAAATTCAGTCTTTGTGCTAAGCTAAGCTAACAGTTTCCCCCTGCTTTCAGGGGAGTGTGCCTATGTTCCCACAGCTTTGTGTTCCCACAGTTCTATGTTCCCACATTTCCTTTTTCATAAATTTGTATAAGATTTTATCACCCTTTCTCCCACTTTGGTAGCCAGTTACACCCAACCTATTATCCAGTAGCAATGGACTACAGACGGAATGTAGCTTTTAGCTAAATCTGGTGCGTCCATCTCTTTGTTTATTGCAAACATTTAATGTAAGTGCACACTGTCCTTTTAAATAAACAAACTAAACTAAGTAGCACAGAGGCCTCGCATTGACTAGCTTCCGGTCAGATCAGTCGAATGAAGCGCAGCAGCTGGACGCAAACCATAGTTTGCAGTGCATCAATACCTCTGGGAAGCCGGGTTGGCATAGAGAGGGGGGCTCCTGGGATGCTTGGAGTCACTTTCCAGCCCTCTGGAGGCGTCATAGGCTCATAGAGGAAACATTAAGGAAGGAGGATGCCTATTGGAAACATAGGGCTGACCCCGCCTTCAGTCTCTGTGCTAAGCTAGGCTAACAGTTTCCTCTTGCATTCAGTCTCTGTGCTAAGCTAGGCTAA